TTGGTACCAGCAGTGAGGTGATCAGGAGACATATTACACTGAGAAAGTCTGTAGTCAGGGACTTCTCCAAATTATTGAAGAACAGTACAGTGATACCAGTTTGAGGACCGGGATGTGCCTGATTCAGGCCATGGTCTTTTCAGTCACTTTATCTGCATGTGAGAGTGGAACAATGAATAAGAATTACAGAAGATGGATTTATGCCTTTGAATTGTGGTGTTGAGAAGAGTTCTGAATATCCCATGGATTGTCAAAAGAAAAAGAAAACATGTATTTCCTGGAGAAGATGCAGCCGGAGTGCTCCATGGAGGCAAAGGCGATGAAGCTTCATCTCACATAATTTGGGCATATTGCTAGGAGAGGTCTCAGGATATGATGAGGATGGCATGGAATAGGAGAGGATTCAGATCTGTTGTTCCAGGGTCTCTACGAGTCATACTTGACACAAGAGTGTCTAACAATAACAACAGGTCTTGGGCACAAGGTAGCATCACCCTGTACATCCAGCCAGGAGGTGACAACTGTCCCAACAACACTCTTCTTCACGTGTAGGGAGCTCTAGTGACATACCCTATAGGGAGGTGTGCTGTTCACTCACAGGCTCTATCTCCCTGGCGGTCTAAATCTACTATTGACTTTCTACCATTGAGGGAGAAAGAAGGACATCTTCTTCCATACAATTTACAAACCCAAAAAAATCCTAAGAAATTTCAGTTATGAGTTCGTTCGGACTCAATGGCAATGAATGACTGAGCTGTTCTCCTGTATAGGTGACAAGAGATTTTTACAACTTTTGTGTTTGTGAATTTGGCTACTGAAGTCCATTGCAAGGATTTATCAGAATCTACCTTACGTACCAGCAGCCAGGAAATCAAGAGACAAATTGCTTTGGGAAAGTCAGCTGTCAGGGACCTCTCCAGAGTACTGAAGAGCAATGCCATCAGGCTGGAGACCAAGGTGTGCCTGATCCAGGCCATAGACTTTGCAATTGCATGCTATGCATCAGAGAGCTGGACAGTGGCTAGGGATGATAGAAAGAGAATTGAAGCCTTTGAGCTGTGGTGCTGGAAGAGAGTGTTGAATATACCATGGACTGCTAGGAGAACAAACAGGTTTCTCTTGGAGAGAGTGAAACCAGGCTGCTCCT